AACATGCTATGTGTTTACATCCATCGCTGCCATGTTTGTAATGACTTATCACGAGAACAAACGTATTCATGTGACTTTAATGGCATTTCTTTCTTAATGGAAACACTGCAGTTGTGAAACTGTTTTTTCGACATTAACAGAATATCGACAGTTTTGCGCACATTTGCAATGGAAACGCAGCTTGTGATTCAAGTCTTTAAATGATATATAAGTCAATACAACAGGAGTATAATGACAAACACCTTCAACAACTGGAAAACAAATGAACTTTAGATTTTTATAATATTTGTACCAGCTAAGGTTTGGTTTAATCATGATCCGTGTTTTACTTCAGCACACAGTTGTCCTAATCAACTCAAGTGATGGAGATTTAAATTTTATTTTATTTGAATTCCTCCAGTTCATAGGGTGAATAAATTCTTTTATTTATTTTTTGTTGTTTTTTTTTCCCTGACCTCAGTGTTTAAACAGGATTCCCAGTTTACTGATGAATAATGTTTTTTCTGGCGTCGTTTAGGTGTTTGTAAGTAACAGTGCCAAGTACAGCGACCTGGGCCAACCTTTTGGGTACCTAAAGGCCAGCACAGCTCTGAACTGTGTCAACCTGTTCGTAATGCCCTACAACTACCCCGTTCTTCTACCACTTCTGGGTAAGATTCATTTCATCCTCCCGCCACCTTACGGACACGATTTTATTTTTTTGCTTGTTATTAACACCCTTATTTATTTTTTATTTTCAAAATTGTCTTGCATACAACATACATATGCGTAACCAGAATTAGAAAATTATTGGTTATAAATAATATTTATGCAATTTGATGATTGGAACAAGTTCACTAGAGAAAGTCAACAGAATATTAAAGCAAAACTAGACATGGATTTTTACGATGTAAAAATAAGTGTGCATTGCCTTGTATCATGTCATTGCAGCATGCCTTTGCCTGCAGCAGTGGACTTTCAGAATGAACTGCAACCAAGTTCAAATGTGTTTTCAATACCAGCTTGTGCCTGTCATGTCAACAGGTGTTTGTAGTGAGGGTAATTGTGTGACAATATGAAGTTTGTAGAGATTTTTTGTTAAAGTAGCTGAAGCTGGGTTTCGAACCCTGATCTCCCACATGAAAGCCCATGGCATTAACCATGAGACCATTGGAGCTGTGGCAGAGAGAATTGCCAGGGGTTGGTTTGTATGTGTGTAGAAAGAGGCCACATTACCAATGCAATCGTTGACACTAAACTGCATTATATTACAGCAATAATGTAATGTTAGGACAATATTATAGTAAAACATGGAAATACAATCATATTAGTATTGTAAACACTGAACTACTGAGTTTAAATATTAAACTATGGTGCAGTACCGAGTAGATACAGCAGGGGTCAGTATTGGACCAATACAAGGCTCCATTGACTGCCATTATATGATTTTTGGGAAAAAGTTTAAACATTAATATTCCGAAAACTACAAGTTGCACAGGCACCAAAAGCCATAGCCATCATTTGGCACAGGAGCTTTACAGATCTAAATGAAAGTGGCAGCTGTAGGACGAAGTATACATGAGGAGAAGCATGCCAAAGAGGAGATGACTTGGGTGGCAAACAAATCACAGTAGTGTGCATTGGATGCAATGCACACTGATGATAAAACATATTTTTAACTAGACATGGGTTTTTTTATGATGTAAAAACAAGTGTGCCTGTAGCATGCCTTTGCCTGCAGCAGTGGGCTTGCAGAATGAGCTGTGATCAAGTTCAAATGTGCATTCTATACCAGCTTGTGCCTGTCAAGTCAGCAGGTGTTTGTAATCAGGGTAACTGTGTGACTGAAGTTTGAAGAGAATTTTAGTTAAAGTTGCTGTAGCTGGGTTTTGAATCCTTATCTCCCACATGAAAGTTCATGGCATTAACCATGAGACCATTGGAGCTGTGTGAATATACAGTCCCAGAGTTTTTTTCTGTGTGTAGAAAGAGGCAACATTGCCAATGACGATCGTTGACACATAACTGCAATATATTACAACAATAAAGCAATATTATATAATAT